AGCAGGTGGGCTCCACGCTCTGGTACACCAATTCAGCGCCTACATTGAGACAGTCCATTAGAGCTTTAAAAATACGATTGTGCAACATTTTTAGAACATATAGTTCCTCTTGGGACTCTAGAGTATAGAGGCAAGGTAAGCTTGGTGATGCTCTGTCCAGGGTTAAATGACTTAAATGTAGTTCACGAGCCCTCCCGTTTCCCTTTTCTCTCCTGTTCTCTCTCCTTACTCCGCTCTGCTCTCCTCCTTTCTGGGGACACTGAGCTGGGGCAGCCGGGTACGTGTGCCAGCTTACGCCACTCTGTTTTCCCTCTGTGCTTGTTCCTGGCGACTGGAGACCCATCCTGTTGACGCGGGCTATCAGTTGTTCCTGCAGGAGCAGGAACACGTCAGGAAGTGGCTGCGTGGTGTCAGGAGATCTCGCCCGTGCCGCTCTGCCCTGAGCCACGTCTCCTGCCGTGCCAGCCGTGGCACCGGCGCCGTGCGAGGAGGGGTGTCCTGGGACTGCCCAGCACTGCTGCGCTCAGCTTGTCTTGCTGACCAGATGGTGTGACTGCCTCGAACAGAACAGACTCACCAAAGCCAAAATTGCCCAAAGTCAGGTGTCTGTCTGTATTTACCTCTGTAACTAATACAGTTTAATGGGAGTGAGCTGCAGAAAGTAATCTTTGCAAATAAATCCATGTTCTACAGGTTCATGGCTATTTTTTCTGTTTAAATTAATGAAACCCTCGAAACTTTTTCTCCTGAGGTTTATAACCTCCTCTCTCTCATCAGTGTTATTTATCTCATGATTAGACTGTTTGCTTTGCAGTATATAACTCACTGAAAGGCTGAGAACATTTTTTCCATAGCTACTCAAGTTTCAGTCCGACGCACTTCCTCACACGTTTCCATGTGCAAGAAGCGTCTGCATGATAGCTTGACGTTTCACCCAAAATTTTGTACTGCATGTACTGCAGTATTTAATTAAAAAACCAGCGAAGCTAAGAGGAGCACAGGCTTTATAGTAAAACAGTAATGTCAAAATCAATGTTACTTGATCTTCGTATACAGAAATATCATGTGAAAAAGTGAGACTTTACCCAAAATATTACAGATAGTACTTGGCGCCCGTGAAATTCCTAAAGAACAAAGGATTAAAACCATGGAAAGAGGGGCCAATGAGGGAAGATTTTTTTTTTTTTTAAGCTATGAATAAGGAGATAGAAGTGTACACAAAGGCTTGAAGAGTGTAAACAGTACAGAGGGAAAGGAATTCTTTCAGATTATCTAGGGGGGTATAACTTGGATATAATGGGAGAAAATTAAACAAAGGAAAACAAAGTTAGAGCATTAAAGAAATCTGTTACTGGGTCCCTTAGCCCAATTCTTAGTCTCCATGGAACAGAACCCAGTCAGTTGGGCAGTCAAAGCTTACATTTTAAAATGTGTATAATTTTTGTCTCTGCAGCTTTGCGTTTGCACGTTAGCAGCAGGCAGTCGGGGTAACTCCAGAAGTGCCAATGCAGAACTGCAGATGTAGAGGCGGCCAAACTGGCGTGGTTGTTAGCTCAGCGAGGCTGTACCAATAAAGCGGTTAGCGTGTCCGGCTCAAAACCAAACTGTAATTCTGACCCATAAAACTCAATGAAAATATACAGTAGAAAGGAATGCAGAACTGATAGAGGACAGGGCAGAATGACCTTAAAGTTTCTGTGGTTCTGCACAGTAAGACATTGAGAATTTACTCCATTGCAGGGACTTATGCCTTGAAGCTTTAAAAGGAACTATGAAGAAACTAAAAGCAAATTTTAATTAACTGATTATACAGTAACAAATCCTTGGATTATAAATGTATATGAATTTTTAAAGAATTTTTGGTTGTAAGTAGCTATTGAAAATCCTTACACAAGTAATTATTTTGCTGTATTAATTTCTCCTACAGGCAAATAAATAATTTCTTTTTCTGTCTTAGCAATTCTATATTTTATTTCAAACAAAAATTGTAGTAAATCTGCATTTTAATTCTATGTAAAGAAAGGACAGCATGCAGAAATTGCCACACTGTAGGGTGTGCTCAGCCACACAGTAGGCATTACAGATTGTACAGACATGGGGCTGTAAACAGCTTTCATGCAACATCATCTATCATGCTATGGTCGGTTACCTCACCATCATGTTATTTTATGCTTCCTGAGCCCTAAAACACCAAAGGTTGCCCACTGCTAGGGAGCTGCGTTGATGCCTGATCGCATGAAGTAATGAATGCTCAGCCAAGTGTATATTGTTTCTGCTTGTGCACCGTTGTAATTTGTTTATCTGTCTAAAGATTATGCAGTTGAAAATCCACAATTTTATGCTGCCTTTGTAAATTATCAAGTCGCTTTTGATGAATGTATCCCCACTTCCAATGCTAGTGGCATTATGATCTTGAAATATTGGAAAGTGCTCATGCATACAATGCAGAAGGTTATGTTTTTATATTTTTGGCAGACAACCGTGCTATAAAGTAAATCTGACCTTAAGCTTCCTTACTGCATTAAAGATAATTCAGTTGTAACTTTATAGTCCTAAATGCTACTGTTTATATAAAGTTATTGCCCAGTCAGACTTGACTGATTACAGCTGAGAAAGTCCTGACTGTTTCATACAAAATAAATTAGCATCGCCAACTAGTTTAAAGCACATCCGTGATTGTATTAGAGACTTGAGAGTGTGCAGATGCAGTTAATTAGCTTACGGGAATGGTTTAGCATAATAAGAAATTGTCTTGTATGGCAATGTGTTTGTATTTATTCCTGAAGCACTGTGCTAGAGAATCGAAACAGTCTGAAAAGCACATTTGTTGCAAATGGCAGAAAGATGAGTACAATTTTATTATTCATTAAGCTACAAATGCTAAAGAAGTCAGCGTATACGGATGAAGTTCAACGTGGAACAAAATGAAAGCAATTCATAACGGAGACTGGAAGAATGTCATCTTTCATTTGCTGCTGATTTTCTTAAAATCACTTCATGCTTTTTTTTCAGATGAAGAAATGTATCTCATAGAAATGGTTAAAGATTATAAACTGTAAATAGTTCATTAATATCTCTGAACATTTAAAATCACCTTTATGATGAAATCAAAAGCTCTTACAAGGCAATATGCGGATTGCATTGAATTCAAAGCACAACATACACCCCACCTAATTCAATAAAAATTGTGTGTTGTTCTTGAAAAAAGGACTGGCCAAATGTGCTAGCTGTGTGTCCCTGCAAAAGGCTGAACGCAGTCGTAACTGAGTCATTCCTTTCCTCTCTCCAAGTGTTACTCAGATTCCTTGAGGTCCCAGAAGCAAGGAGTGAATGCAGTGACTCCATGAGTCGTTTTACATGGACAGCTTGCACAAATTGCTGCAAGCAGTTCTGGACGTAAAAATTCATTCTACGTGGTCTCTCTCTGGAGAAGCCACGCAAAGATGTGTTCGTGTCCCTTCACTCAGAAACTGGTTTGAACTATTTGCATAACTTATTTCCGTGTTTCTTTCTGATTCTATAATGTGGAGAATACTTGAACTGACCGGTGTTTTGATGTGGTTTGTTGGTTTTTTTGTTTGTTTTTTTTTAACTAGTCAGAAAATGATGAGAAGATAGTGATATATGACCACATTGGGCCAAATGTCTGCATGGGAGATCACAAGGTAATTAAATTAAACATTTTAGTGTTGTGTCTTCTAAGTCTGTTTTATTGGGAAGAAGAATGTATGCTCTGGCTTCTGTTAATTTTATATTTAAGTCAACCATATCTCTGTCCTGTTTTTAATGTAAAGCCTCAAAAATGTTTTAAAGTTAATTCAACTGAAATCAGCCAGTATATTAGAGCAGATACTTGTATGAAATCAAATAAAGAGCAGGATGATGTGCACCAGCATGAAAGCCTGATACAGTGCAAAATGAAGAGCAGCAACTGCCTGTGCCCTCACAGCTATTCTTGTAAAACACAAGAGTTTTCACTGGGTTATCAAAACTGCTTACAAAACATCGTTTCCATTGATTTCATGCCTAGCTGCTTATTAGTAAAATAATGTACTGGCACTTCCATATTTAAGCAGCAAGTGAGAAAAAGGATATAGACTTACATAAGTACCAGCTGTTAAAGTGAAGAAAAAGGCAAGGATTCTGTTAACAGTCTTCTCTGCTGAAGATGCCAGATGGAAAGCTAAGTCAGAAATACAGCAGAACTGAGTATTTGCTGTCTTTTAACAAAACTGAATGAGGAGTAGGAGGTTATTTCTGAACACCTGTATAAAAACTATATCAAACTGTGTAAAATCTCAAGTAGAAACTTGCAAAAACCTTGTAAACTGTAGGACAGTAGTAATGTATCAGTCCTAGAGAGAGTGCTGAGGCTCTTGAATGATAATTCAGTGATGGGTAATGGGCAGGTACGTGTGCATGTATGCATGTATACAAGTAAATCCACATTCACAAATACGTACCTGTATTTACTTTCACGGTCAGGGTTCTTGTGGGACAGGCTATTGTTTTTCTAAGGCAGAATGGCTCAGAGTAAGGTACTTGGTCCAGAATCATCCAAATCAGATTTTTAAAATGCAGAAGTTTAGTAACTTCCCCAGTAGAATGAAAGGTTTGGTGAGTCAGAGCTGAGGGAGAGACAGTTCAGAAACAATCATTTTTGTTTCCTTTGTCACCGGTGTACTTAACGTGAGTCTTTTCAGCATGGCCCTTTCAGCAGAGCTAGTTCTGTGATAGAAGGGAGGTGTGTGTGGGACCCCCCCCCCAGAAACCAGGGGCAGATCTTCCCTTAGGTTTCAGTGGGAGCAGAGCTCTGTGAGAAGCTGATGCAGTTCTCTTGTGCATTTTGTAGTTAGATGAAACAAAGATATTATTGCATCATTTTGTTTCCAGTCATAGAGGAATTTTTGTTGTGTTTACTACTGACTGTAAAAAAAAGTTTATGTTTCAGATGTGTAACTTCTATTTTTCCCTAACTTGCTGCAGCCTGTGTTCCTGTCCTTTCGAATAGCTGCTGGGGCAGGTAAACCTATTGCAAATGTGCACAAGTGTTGTGTCGTGCAGTGATGTGGTGGTAAATATCATTTTTTTTCCTTTACGTTTATATTTTCTACATCATTTCCCCTGTGTTTATTTTTCTTTTTAAAAAAATGCCAATTCTGCAACAGGAAAAAGATGCCTACGAAATGAGAAGATTTTCCGTGAAACCACACTGTAGCAATGCGGGGAAGGAAGGTGCAGGATCCTGAAATACATAATCCTAACAGCTGTATCGATAAATCCAGTCCCGAGTGCCACATTTTTAGACTGCTGATCGTACACTATGCTTCAGCATCTGGACTATGTTCGAGAAAAGCCTCACATACCTCACTGTCTTGTATGTTCATGTGACATCAAGTAGAAATGTGGAATTATTTTTTATATATATGTCACGATTCTGTTGCCAAAACTCTAAATAGACAGCAGAGATGTTATGTATTTTAGATTTCACAGTTTCGACTTTTAATAAGTGTTTGTCGATGTGGAAAAGCTATTTCAGCCTATTATAAACTTTTAAAGGTGTCATGCCTAGCATTATATATCTTTACCACTTTGGGGTTTTGTACATTGGATTGTATAGATAAGAGATATTGATGGTTTTAAATGGTATTTTCTTTGTTGACCAAGGCTTATGGTTTGTGTTTTAGTTTTAGTATTTTGGTTTTCATTTTTATAATTTTTTTCTCATGTTATTTACTATACTGCCATGTTACATGGTTTTTGAATCACACAGCAGCTGCTTTGTATACATACATATATATGTGTGTGTATATATATGTATGTATGTGTATATATACACAGATATATAAATAATTTATAAACCTGACCAAAACTTACGCTAAATATACTTTCCAATATGAATGCTCGAGAGTGCCATATCAGCAGTTAGTATTGGAGTCTTAGCAGGTTTAGTTAAGTGTACATCAACAACCAACATTTATATAATAATATATAGCAGTGCCATCCTGGATACCGATATATAGCGTACTATATAGCACATATATTAGCAGTTTCACTTCGTTACTCCTATAATCCCTTCTTTCTATGTAATATTAAGGATTGAATGTGAAGTTCTTAGCTAGGTTTGGGTGTAACTTTCCAGAATTTTGTAAACCGTTTTTGTCCGTCTTTTGTTACTGTTTTATGGTGCCAAGTATTCTATATGGAAACAATAACAACATGGGAGAAGAAAATAATAGTCTGCTTCAGGTAGCAACTGTATTGGACACAGGCTGTATTTATACAGTGTTAAAGAAAAAAATGACTGTAAATTTTCCTGGTTAGTAGCTCAGTGCAGCCTACAATATAATCTTGTTACGAACATTTTTCTCCCACCACTAAATACAACATTAAAAGGTGATTAGGGAGTCTGTTGATGAAACACAAATGTATGTTTTATTGATTTAATTTAGAACACTACAGAGTTCATGGACTGCGTGATGGCATTAGATTGATGCTTGATTTTGGTATAAATCACTACCGTTGAAAATGATTTTATGTCCGCTTGCAGAACGTTTTCGCAACAGTACAGTCTGGGGTTATATTGAGGACTGTTGCCCAAGGGGTGTCCGCAGCTCTGTATTGTTACTGTGCCATGTCGCATTATAACCACACAGTAATTCTATTTAAGCAAACTCAACTCATGTTAACTTTGAAGGCCTTTAGAAATGAGTACTCTGGTTCTCAAGCAATAAAACTGATCATGGTGAATACGGCTGTGTCTGTCCCTTTAATTTGGGCACTGGGGATTACAGGGAAATTATTAAATTGTCACATTTCTTACTAATGAGTTACCTGTTAACCTCCTGCCAGTTCACAGGGCTGTATTTTGCATGAACACCTGTGTAACAGCATGTGGTTCTGGTGTTAATCAGAACACAACAGGAACCGAGGAAAAGGCCGTTAGGAGTTTGTGTTAAGACTGAGAGTGCTAATGTACGGAGAGTAATACAACTTTATGAGCTATTCACGAGAAGCCAGTCCCCAGCAGGTCAATAAATATGCCACCATAAACTCCTTCGTGATTATCTCTGGTTTTAGAAAAAATCTACTGCCCTTTCAAACCCGGGCTGGAGCCTCAGCTGTAGATAAACAACCTCACCGGAGCCGTGAACTGCGGGACCGTAAATAGCCCCAATCCCTCTGGAGGCGTTAGTTACACAGGTGACCTGTCAAGGTAATTTGTTGAAAGAGCTTCAAATTTAACCCACAGAAATTCACAAAATGCAGCTTTAGCATTTAAACAAAAACCCAGAGGCGTTATCTGCAGAAGGTGCGAGGCCCGCAGGGCTGCTGGGATGCTCCCGATGGCGTTCCCATCCATCTGCGGAGCGCCGGAGAGGTCAGCGGGTGAGGAGGGCGCTGCCGCCGGGCAGGGCCGGGTTTTGTCCCGGTTTCTCCCGGTTCACCTCTGCTAAAGCCTGTCCAAGGCCCGTGGCCGTTCAGCCCGGGCACCGCAGGCTCTGCCTTGCCGGGCCTCGGGGTGCTGGGGGCAGCGGCTGCTTCCCCGGGGTGTTCACCCTGCGGATGCGTTACACAGCCACCTTGTTCCGTGAAAACATACTCATCACTGAATATAGATTTCCGAGTTCCTTGGGGCGCATTTCATTTAAGAAATATGGAAAGGAGCAGGTGTGAATAATCCGACTTTCAAGTGCGGGTATTTTTTTATCCTGTCATCTTCCCTTAGGAGCCAGGAAAACGGCTCGGGTTCTTCGTCGCGGTTCCAGCGTTCTGTCTCAGTATGTTCAAAGCCGGGGCGAAGATTAATTTCTAAACTTGATTTACTCCGTCTGTAACCGTGGTACAACTCGAGTGAGGTCTCGCCAACCCACTGCTTTCAGTGAGTAAGAATTTGCAGGACCCCCCTCCCTTCCCCTGAAATCGCGAGGAACTGCTCACAGCTGAGCGAAATAAATCAAAGCGAGCACAGCGCATGGCCCGGCGTGGCGGCACCTGGATCCGGGGGGGCGGCAGGGCTGAGCCGGGGCTGCTGCGGGGGGTCCCGGTCCCGCGGGGG